TCATCCTCCGCTACGGGTGTAACGGCTCTAGCCAACAGCATCATGCTAACAATAACCTCATAACTTTGAACGTTAACATCTCGACATTCCATAGTCTTTAACTCGATACCGTTATCACTAACACTACCGAGCTGGGGGCTAACTGTTGGGGTCGGATTTTACCCGCTCAACGTCAACGTTCAAAGAATAGACAACTGGAGAAATGACCCTCGGGACTCTCAATGTCTAAGGCGGAATGGTGCCTAAGTCCTCACGCGAAGCAAAGCGAATGATCATGTCAAGAGCCTGACCCGAGGACGTCTTCGCTGCTACGCGGGAGAGGACGTCCTCGCTGCTACGCGGGAGAAGACGTCTTCGCCGCTACATGGGAGAGGACGTCTTCGGTCACTACGGGAGAGGACGTCTTCGCACACTCCAGGCCGAAGATGTCTTCACAAGCAATGACCCAACGGACTGAAGACGGCTCAAACCGAAGTCCAGTCCAGTCACGAGGCCCAGAGAACTAACCGACTCAAGGAAGGTGACTCCGTGAAGACTTAGGAGGCCGAGCCGACTTAGAGATAGTATATATACCTGATGTAAAAGCCCTTGAAGAGGCATTCGGAATGTGGTTCACAAATCTAACAGAGCAATAACAAATAACTTTTTCATATCTTGGTGATCTTAGCTAATCCTAGAAATCTCTACCTCTTCACGAAACCCTAACAAATCTAATTGTGCTAGTTTCGACTCCCACAATTTTTGACCAGAGGTGGATCGCCTTTTTAGGTGTTGGGGGAGGTGAAAATACTGATTTCATCGTCCCGCCGCAAATACTCAGCTCTCCGAATATGAGATCGATTCTCTTTTTGGGAGCCGGTGGTGTTGAAGTTGGCGCTTCTTCCTCCGTCGGTCTTTCCCTCTTACCCTTGGACCGTTTCTTTCTACGAGTTTCCTGTTGTGGGGGAGCTAGCTCCGCTTCAGGATTCTCTTCCGGCTTACTGGGTTTGGATAATTGCTCGAGGGTTGTCCTCAAGCCTAATAAATAGTGACACTCCTCTGTAGAGTGTCCCCTCTTTGTATGGTGGGTGCAGAACTTGCTCCCGTCATATTCAAGTTTCTTAGCCTTTGTTGTATCGATCGCAAAGGCCTACTGGGCTTTGCCGTAACCCTCTTTCTTGGCGAACTTTCAAGGGGGCTGCTGCCCAGAGGGGTTAGCGGTTTCCTTATATTTCTCGTCCAGGGCTGCTT